CGAACACCAGGAGGTCAATAAAATGACCCCCAGCAACATTGCCATTGTGCTGGGCCCCAACCTGCTCTGGGCACAGCCAAGCACAGGGTAAGGCTGTGTTCGCTCAGGGTGGTGGGAAGCAGCTCCTCTGCTTTGAAAAATGGTGTTTTGGGGGGTTTGGGATTTTTTTTTTTTTTTGGCTAATCCTGCAGGCCACCTGCACCTCCTCCATCCTGATGTCCCGTCCCTCATCCCCTACCAATATGGAGCACCACATCCCCTGCCCAAGCTCACGGCCTCTTAGCAGCAGACATGCCCTCCCTGCAGCTCTGTGGTCACCCCCACTGTCCTGGAGGCATCCAGGCCTCCAAGTGTCTTTCTCTGATGTCCCCTTAGCCTCTCAGCTCTCCCTCACTCTGTGGTCTCTTTCAGAGCCACCCTGGCCTGGCATCTCCCCCACAACTCTCTGCACACCCCCTCATCCACACCTGGCCCTTGGGCACCTGCCTGCCTGCTAAGCTGCACCCTTGCACTGAGGTGCACAGTGTAAAAGGCTGAGCCCTAGACCACCTGTGACATAGATGGCCTCAAATTGGCTTGGAAGCCAGGATTCCAGGATAGAGAACAGCTCCCAGTTCCCTTTGGCTGTCTCCACTTCAGGTCTGCCCAGCCAGGAATTAACATAAAATGGGTTCACTCTCTCTAAGTCCTTTCCTGATGCCTCCCCCACCTCATTCTCTCAGAGATCCCATGCAGCTGGACTTGGCCTCGGTCTCCTCCATCCAGGTGGTGGGCATTGTGGAAGCCCTCATCCAAAACGCGGACACTCTCTTCCCCGGAGGTAGGGCCACAGTTTCTCTCTGTCCTTCCTTCTTCGGGGAGCAGTAACACTGGGTCCCACTGCTATTGCTAAGTGCAGCGCAATAGCCAAAGAGCATCCCGTGCTGGTCAGCTCTGTCCTGCTCCTCTGGGGCTGCTGCAGAAGGGATTTGCAGCAGGAACAGTGCTTAACTGCAGCCCATGTTTGCAGCAGGGCAGCTGACAAAATGAGTTAGAAATCTGCCCCGCTTTGCTCAGGGAGACTGTGAATCACAGGCTCAGTGGGAAGGGAGCAATGGAGCACGATTTTGCCTCTGTGAGACCTGACTTGGCCCAAGTTTCCAGCTCAGCTGAGCTTGTGTCTCCTAGAGGTGCCCTCACACTGATCTGCTGAGCACACATGTGTTGTCTCACATATAAGCCACAAGCTTGTGGTTTGTGGCTAGCTGGGGACTCTAATCCTGCTTCAAGCTCTGTATAGAAGCAAAGCAGCTCTCTGCCACCCATTCTCCCTGCTCACGCCCTCAGACACCAGGGGACTCATGGAAGAGAACTCTAGAAGCAAAATCACTCTGCAGGAAGGCTATCAGTCCCATCAGGTGGAGCTGCTGCCCCTAATCTGCACATGGGTCTATGCTCCAGGACAAAGTGCTGGGGCTATGCAGTATGAGGAAGGATCAAGTGCACTTTCAGTCCCCAAGAGAGGTTGATATCGAGGGCCAGGCTGTCTTCCCTCCCTCAGACAAAAGCTGAGGTCCTAGCCAAGAGGAGGGAAGGGGTAGGGTGCACTGGTGCAGGAAGGCAGCGGGCTCAGGAGATTGCTGCATGTCTGGGCTATACTCCCCCCAGTCTGCTCTGATTCCCAGTCTAGCGATGAGCCCTGTGCAGCATTTGACACAGCTAGTGTGTACAGTTCCCTGTACAGTTTCCTCAGGTCTTCCTTCCTTTCTATCTAGAGATCGATTTCAACGTCTCTGGCATGTTCACACCACCTGCGAACGCTGTACTCAGCGAGGCTGGCCCCGTGGAGGAATTGTCTCCCAAGTCTCCCCCAGCCACTGCCCCTGCTTTCCCAGAGGAAGAAGCGTAAGTCCGACAGGAGCTGGCAGCTCCGGCTGTCCTGGCTCTTCTCCCTCCCCATCCCACCCTGCACCCGTATCTTCACACAAAGCCATGGCCTAGGCATGGGGCACCCCATGCCAAGGACCAGCTGTCCCCCGCAGAGGCATGGACTCCCACCATCAGCAGGATACACTGACTTCCACTGCCAGCAGCATAATCAAAGCCTGACTTGCCCCCTTTTCCCGCAGCATGAAGGATCCCAAGACGAGTTCTCAGACAGCTTCTCCGAAGGTGACCACATCTTCCGAAGGTTCAGGGCTGGTAGCCCCAATGCCAGCCAGTGACACCACCCGCAAAGGTTAGGCCGTGCAGCAGGAAGCCCCAGACCATGCACCAAGATGCTGGCAATGATCAGGAGATATCCCCGGGCCTACCAACCCTAATGCTGCATTTTCTGCTTGCCTTCAGCCCATCACACCCTAGAAGAAAGGGTGCTCAGGGCTGCCCCTGTTGCTGAATGGGAGGGGAAGGGTTTGTGGTCCGGCTGTGTAGAAGGGATTCCAGCCTTCATTTCCAGCCACTTCCATTTCCACCGCTAGCTGAGGTAGGACCATGGGATGGACCTGGCTAGCTCTCTGGTGGAAGAAACTCCCTTCTTTCAGAGCCTTCAAAGTTCAGGGTCTCTTGAGAAGGGGAGAAGGAAGGAAAAGCCCCCAAAGCTGGTGTGTGCTCTGTGCGCCCAGCTCGGTGCTCCAGGATGGGGATTAGGAGCTAGGTGCGGGGCAGCGTGCCCATCACTGTGTCACGTGTGGGGCACTGCACGTGCCTCGAGGCAGCACCACAGCCCCTCTCCAAGGGATGCGCTGAGACCTGCGCGGAGGGGAAGCTAAGCCCCCCTTGGCTTCCTTTCCAGGCAAGCGCCCGGCTCCGGCGCGGCCCACGGTGCCGCCACCGCCTGTGGCCCAGCCC